TTCTTTTTGATATTAAACCAGAGAGCTGAGTAGCAGAGGGAAAAATGTAAGCCTGTTTGTATCCCAAAAATTTTTTAAACATCATTTAGAAACGTTGAAGTATCCGGGAATTTTTTTGGGGGTTTTTAAGTCCTGATTCCCTTTTAGTTTAAGCTAGGCTAAACCCATTTTTCATTTTCTTTTTGCTTTTTCAGACGCTCAAAGGGGTTCCCTTTTGGGTTACTTTTTTTTTAAAACCCCCCGTGGGGGCCCCCCCAACCCCGGCCCCGCAAACCATCTCCCAAAAAACCGACACCCCCGGGCCTTCCCCCCCCATCGCCGCTGGCCTTCGGGCCCCCCCCCCTGGGTCTCCCCCGGGCCCCTACGCAAACCCGGATTCACCAGGGCTCATGCAAAACCCCAGCCCCCTGGGATGTGCCTTAGACCCCGCCATTTGGCCCCCTTCTTCAAAGGCAAAAAAGGGGTGTTTTCTTCCAGTCGGGTTTTTCACCCCCCATAATTTTGGTTAATTTTTTCTAATCCTTCAGAAAACCTTTTTAACAACCCCTAAATATTTTCAAACCAACAAAAACTTTTTTTAAAAAAATGCCCGGGGAAAACAGGGGGGGGAACATAAAAAATAAAAACAAAAATAAAAAACAAGGGGTTTTTTTAAAAAAAGAAAAAAATTTTTGAAAAAAATAGTAAGTAAAACATAAAAAAAACAATATAATAAAAATAGGGAGTTAAAACAGGGGGGCTTTTCGGTCATGTGTTAGTCAAGGGGAATAACATAGGGGTTATTACAGGGGGGAAAGGTACAAGTCAAAGTTTACTGGTTAACAGAGGGAGGTTAAACGGGGGGACTGGTACAGAGTCAAAGTGTTAGTCAGGTTTTAAATAGGGAGGTTTACGGGGTCTGGGACAGATCAATGTGTTGTCAGGTAATAAAATAGGGGGGGTTAATACAGGGGGCTGTCCAGAGATTTGTTTTCCTGGGGTAACATGGGGGTATTACAGGGGGATGGTACAGGTCATGGTTTATCGGTTAAAAGTAAGGAGGGTATATAAAGGGGGGAGGCCCAATAATGGTTTTCAAGGTAAAGTAGGGGGGGGGTTTAAAACAAGGGGGGGAATACAAGGGAAAAATGTTGTCGGTTTCAAGGGGTTAATAAAGGGGGTACGGGGACGAACAATGTGTTGTCGGGAATAAAATGGGAGGCATATCAAAGGGGACGGGGGCAAGGGCAAGTGTTAGTCAAGGTAATAAAAGTAGGGGCATTACAGGGGTCTGGGAAAAGTCAATGTGTTTTTAAAGGAAACTAGGGGGAATACAGGGGGGACTGGGACAGAGTCAAAGTGTTATCAGGTATAACGTAGGGGGGCTAAAAAGGGGAAATTTTCAGAGTCCCTGTGTTATCAAAGGGAAACAGGGAGGTTTTTAAGGGGGGACTGGTAAGAGTTGTGTTTCAATTAACCTTTGGGGTTATAACGGGGGACTGGTCCCCAGCAATGTGTTTGTCAAAGGGAATAAAAGTAGGGAGGGTAAACGGGGGTACCAAAAAGTCAATGTTTAGTCAAGTAAAAAAAAAGGGGGTTTTATCGGGGGCTGGGCAAGTAATTGTTTTAAGGTAATAACGTAGGAGGGAAAAAAAGGGGGCTGGTCGATTTAATGTGTTGTCAAGGTAATAACAGTAGGGAGTTTTTAAAAAAGGGGGGGACCCAGCCCCCCAATGTGTTATCGGTAAAAACAGTAGGGGGGTTATATACAGGGGTCGGTACGAGTCAATGGTTAGTCAAGGGAAAACATAGGGGGGTATTACGGGGGGGACTGGACGATCAAAGGGGTTTTTCAAGGATAAAAAGGGGGGATATCGGGGGGGTTTCTTTAAAAACATGTTAGCGGGGTTTAAAGGGGGCCAAACCTGGGGACCCCACCGCAATTTGTCAATATCCCTAACATTAAAGGGGGGATGGTACGATCAAAATTTTTTCTAAACCCTAGGGGGGCTTACGGGGGTTTCAGATCAGGGGCGGGGGCCCGGGGTTAAATTAAAATAAAATGTAAAGCCGGGGTTTTAACTCCATCCAAAAACCAAAGTAAGACCGCAATTTTTTTTCAATTAAACCCCTTGGGAAAAAACAAATACTAACCCTTAACCCCCACCCTTTGGGATCTCTTTTTTTATATCTTTAAAAAATTCCCCTTTTTAATGAAAAAAATTAAGCCCCAAAAAAAAATTGGGAATTGTTTACGGGTAATATAACTTTTGCATACCAAAAACATCTAAAAGTTTTAAAAAAGCATGTTGGGTTTTTTTTTAAAAAAAAAAACCCCCACCCTTTAAAAACCCCCAAAAACACAACAGGGGGGCTTTAAAACCCCCAAACCCCTTGTTCTAAAAGTTTTAATTTCCTCCCCTTTTTCCCCTTTTTCTCCTCCTTTCCCCTTTTTTCCTTCTTCCCCCCCCAACTCCCCCCCCCCCTTTCTCCCCAAACCCCTCTTTCCTTTTTTTAAAAACCCCATACCATTTTTTTGCTCTTGAAAACCCCTCAAGCAAGGCCAGGGGGTCAAAACCCCCCGACCTTCCCTTTTTCCCGTCCCCACCATCCAAAAAAGAAACCCCCCGGAAGAAATCCGGAAAACACCCGAGATCTTTTTAGTTCAACCCAAAAAAGTTCATGTTCCATTTGGGCAAACACCCATGGAAATTATTTAAATCTTTTAGGACGGAACATTTCATTTTTTTCCATTTAAAAAACCCAAACCAAAAAAAAAGACAAATCCCCTAAGAAACCCCTCCCCTTTCCTTTCCCCCTCCCCCCCCCCCCTCTTCTTTTCCCCTGCTCCCCTCTTTGTTCCTTTTTTCCCCAAACCTCCCCCCCTCCCCCTTTTGCTCATCTGGGGTTTTCCCGGGGGTTTTGGGGGTTTCAGGACCGATACCCTGGGCCCCGGTAAAAGGGTTTACTTTTCCCGGGAAAACCTGGGGGAAACCCCCCCCCACCCCCCCAAAATTCCCCTTTTAGGAGAAAGTGTAAATTAAAAATTACCCACCCTTTGGCCATTTTTCCCGGGCAGTTTATCACTCCCCTCCCCCCACCCCTTTTTTGCTTTTAGCCTGGTGAAAATTTTAAAAAAGACGCGGGGGGCCTTTTTGGCCTTTTTCCGTTTTTTTGGGTTTTTTTGTTTTGAAATTTTTTTCATTTGGGTTACCCCGCTTGGGGTTCCCTTGTAACAAAAATTTTCCCCAGGCCAAATTGGGAGGTCCCCCCCCCCCTTTTTTTCCTTTGCTTTTGTTTAAAAATTTTTGGGCCACAAAAAATTTGGAATAAAAACCCCTTTTTTGATCCCCAAGCATTTTGGGGAAAAACCCTTTAGAAAAAAGCCATTTTTTAAAAAAACCCAGAAACCTTTTGGAAAAGGGCCCTTGTTTTTTGTGGTGTTCTCAAACCCAAAAAACCCCTAAAGGGGGCATCCTTAAAATAAACAAACCTGATTAAAACCCTCTATCCTTAAGGTTTTTTAAAAGGGGATCACAACTGGGTTTCCTTTTCCCTTATATACCCCCCCTTCCTAATGAAAATTTTAAACCCCTGTAAAAGACCAAATTTTCTTTTTTTTTTAAAAAATTTTTTTTTATGGGTGTTTTCCCACCTTATCCTTTTCCTTTATTGGACTTTGGGGGAATTTTACCACCCCTTCCAATAAAATTTGACAAACCCAAAATTTTGGGGTGAAGCCTTTCTTAAAAAGTCCGTTTTGAGGCAAAAAATTCTTGTAGGGGCTTTAGGTTTGTATTTTTTTATTTGGGCGTCTTTTTAAAATAGAGAGAACCGTTTGGGGCCAAAAATGAGAAAGTCCTGAATTTGGGAAATTCGTTTAAAAACCCTTTATTTTGTACCCACCAGTCAGGTCTAAAAAGGTTTTGGCATTAAAACATCAGGAAAATTTTCGTTTAAAATACCCAAAAAATTCCCTTTCCCACCGGGGGCAAACCCCCAAAAAAGGGGTGAAAAGCAGTTCGGTTTTCCCTTCCCCCCAAAAAGGGGGGGGCCGGGATAAAGGGGAAAATAAAAGTTTTAAAAACAAAAAAAAAAAAAGTTTAAGTTAAAAAACCTTTTTTTTTATTTCTCAAAAAAAACCCCTTGGGTGTGGGGTTTTGGGGGCTTTTTTAACAGGTTTTTTAAAAATTTGGGGGGGGACCTTTTTTTTTACAGTTAAATTGAAAATTTTGAAAAAAAAAAACCCCCCCCCCAAAACCCTGGGGGCAAAAAAGAACAAAGGGAAACGTTTCCATTTTCCCAAAAAAAAACCTAAAAAAGTTCTTAAAAAATTTTAAAAAAACCCCCAAAAAAAGGGGGGAACCCCCCCAAAAAAAGGGGGAAAAAGACATAGGGGCCAAATTTTAAAGCAATTCCCCCCCAATCCATTCGGGAAAAGTAGTCCAATTTCGGTTGGGGAAAACCCAAATGATTGGGAAAAAAAAAGGGCCCCAAAGGGAAAAAGGTTTTGGTTTTTTGTAAACCCTGCAACCCCAAATTTAAAAGGGGGTTTGGGTTTTGGGGGAACAAAAAAAATGTTTTTTCCATTTTTTTTTTTTAACCATAAACTCAAAACAAATTTTTAAAATGCACTGGGGGGGGGGAACCGGGGAATTTCTTTGTTGGAAACTTGGAATTGAAATTTCTTCTTTTCCCCCCCCCTTTTTCTCCCGGGTTTTTTCCCCCGGGATTTGATTAAGGGGTTAAAAAAAAATTTTTTAAAAAAACAAAATTTTTTTTTAAAACTTCTAAAAAAACTCAAACCGTAAAAAAGGGATGTGTGGATTGGTCTCAATATATCCCAATGGGCCCTAGTCAATAGTAGGGCACCTTAAAGGACAATACGGTGCCATTTCAGACACAGACCATGAGTATCCTAAATGACCCCCATGTTTTCATAGATGACATCTGGTGACTGGCGTCCAGCAGTGGGCCTCCTGCTGGCCAAGGTCCTGGTGATGGTCAACGATGATGAGGAGGAGGAGGAGGAGGAGGAGGAGGCCAGGGATGAAGAGGGGGATGATGATGATGACGAAGATGAGGATGGTGATGAAGAGCCTGGCTTGCAGACCTGGCTGTAAAGGTGGGCGAACGGGTCAGTGTTGGGGCCCTTGGCTGGGGTCCCCACACAGGGCTCACTATAGATGGGTTCCGCTTTTCCAGGTTCCTGCCCTCCCTGGTTCTGGTTCTGTTGTTGAGTCTGGTCAGGTAGAGGACTCACATGGTCGTACACCTCGGAGTAGACTGGTTCAGTCTCGTTGCCGTGGTGATGAGAACAGGAAGAGGAAGTGGGCGGTGGTGGTGGTGTAGATCTTGGGGGTATGAGTGAGAGGATGTCTGCTGGGTCGGCGTACACTGGTTCCGTTCGGTTACCATGGTGATTGCGGGGGTATAAAGGGATAGAGGGGGTGAGGGTGGAGGACGTTGGGGGGGTCAGGTAGGAGTTGAGGCCGGGGGCTTTGGGTTTAATGCTGTCTGCTGGCTCAGAGTACAGACACTCCTCAGAGCCAATCAAATTAGGCAGCTGTGAGTACACACACTGCTCTGAGCCAATAGCATTTGAAAATACTGGCCTAAAACTGTAGCTTCCCTCCAAAATGGCTGCGCTATCTGGCAGTGTGGGCAGTGGTGAACGAGCACGAGGCATATTAGGGCTACGCTTAGCAACCACAGTGTCGCCCTCACGGTCATCCCCGACGAAGACGGAGGCCTTCTGTTGCCGTATTGGCGGTCTCGATGAGATTGAAGATGTCGTCAGCTTGGCGAGTCTCGAAGGTGAAGGTTCCGGGTCCAGACTCACTGCGCCGGCCCGCCTCGATGGAGAATGTAATCTGTGGGAGAACCAAGAGGACAGAACCGTGTTACACAATGATTTGAGAGAATTCCCACAGGTGTTCACTGGAAAATTGCATAATTAATTGTGGGCAGAAAATAACCATATGTATTATAACCTGCAACCTCCTTGAATGGACTCTGATGACCATACAATGATCCTTAGACACATCCTTTTTTCGACCCACACTGCCCTACAAAGGCAAAAATATTTGATCTGTTGTAACGGCCAGGTATATTACCTGATTAATGTGGTATTTAGTTTTCAGACACAAGAACAAGCCAGTTGATCAGAACGTATCATGAAGTACCAGAAATTGCTGTCTGTCTAGACAGAAAAATACTTTGAAGTAAAATAAATTACGTAGTTGCTGCGTTTTGCCTTTGTAGGGCAGCATAGTCCCGTACTGTGATGACCATGAAATTAGACACTAGAGAGTAGTATTAGATTAGAACTAATAACAGATTAGAAATCTAATTATATGGCTCAATGAGATTCTACATTCCATGGTTCTATTGACCTTGTCTCTGCCATAGCGTCGTAGCAGCTGATAGGGCCAGTGCTGCAAACTCTTCCTGGTCTCCGCCTCCTTCAGGACCAGCCCCTCCTGGGTCACCTGCAGCCAATAGTACTCCCCCTGGAGGCCGCAGCGCACCGCTGCGTCCGTCTGCTTCACACCCACCCTGAACTCACTCACTGAGGGGAGAGAGGAGGGAGAGTGAGGGTCACGACCAAAGCACTATGGATGGTGTTCATTTCTATTTTGTGTTTATCTTTCCATTATTCGTTCAAATATCTTTGACAAGAGGGACCTGTTCCAAGACAGCAGTAATCATACGCCCATTAGACATAAACAGACAGAAGAATGGTTGTCCATTATAGTTTGTGCGGCCACTAGGATATGTGTGGTGTCTGATGTGCTTCTCACCTTCCTCCCTGGAGACGTATATCTGGTTGTCCTCCATCTGAAGCTGGGGCTGCTGACCAGTGGAGCGTCCCTGGGAGAGAAGACATGTATTTAGATTAGACAGTGAGAACAGTCCTCAACCGATACCTACACTCTTAGAAAAAAAAGGTGCTATCTAGAACCTTAAAAGGGTTCTTCGGCTGTCCCCATAGGAGAACCCTTTTTGTTTGCAGGTAGAACCCTTTTGGGTTCCATGCAGAACCCTTTCTACAGAGAGTTATACAGGGAACCAAAAAGGGTTCTACTATGGGGACAGCTGAATAACCCTTTTAGAACCCTTTTTCTAAGAGTGTACACATCCTCTATGTAATAACTGTTTGGTGATGAAAGGGGTTTAATGGTAGAGAGATCAGTGAACAATGGCGTTTGCTGTTAGCCTTCTACCATACCGAGACAAATTCCTAGCAGCGTTGTTGAATGCTAATAAAGTCTATCTGATTCTACTTCTGTAACTGTCAAAATGTTGAATAGAGACTGATCCACAACAGTCACAAGACAACAACAGAAGCTTCTATTCTCACCTGGAAGGCGATGTCACACATCCTCTCCACCCACTCCACGCAGTCGTCCTTGTCCGCCGCGAAGACGTACCTCCTGCCGTCTGTCTCCACACAGAATGCGGCCATGTTGTCTTTGGGGCAGGCCTCAGCGTGTGGGGGCAGTCTCAGGACCCTGGTCACCTACATTTACATTTTAGTCCATTAGCAGACACACTTATCCGGAGACTGTAAAAAATTGGACTCGGTGCGTCTCTGCTTGGCACTCAGCATTAAGGAGATAGATTGGGGGTAAGGCTCGTGCGAGCCCAAACTGCTCATAGGAGCAGCATGTTTCTGTAGCGTGAGGCAGCTTGATGTACAAGTACGCCCGCTGGACAGGACGCTAGTCTATCGCAGGGCCTTAGGCTACAAACGTATCCATATCCAGAACGACTTATAGTCAGTGCATTTAACTAAGGTAGGTAAGACAACTACATATCACAGTCATTGCCAGTAATACAAATCCTCAATAAAGCAGTTATTAGCAAAGTCAGTACTAGTAAGAAAGACAAGTACAGCAGTAAGGTGTACCTCTGACAGGCGGATCACCCTCTTCTCCTTAACCTTGTCCTGGTGCTTCCAGACCACAGAGGCACCGGCCCGCTCTCCTCCCCCCATCTCCTGGCGCTCTAGCCTGGCTACACCGCAGCGGCTGGAGGGGTAGAGAGCCAGCCACAGCTGCTTCCACTTCTGGATGGAGGGAGGGCGGAGGGGGGGAAGGAAGGAGGGAGGGAGGATAGGGGATGAGGACAGAGAGGGAAGAGAGGGAAGAGAGAAATAATGGGGAGAAAGAGAGGGATAGAGAGAAATGTGGAGAGAAAGGGAGGAAAATGAGTGGGTGAGAAAGAGAAATAAAGAAAAAGTGAGTATGTAGTTTTCCCACTTCCCTGACAACTATTGATAGAGGGTTTCCTGACTCCAGCGCTCATGACACACATTAGTAATATGATAAACTCAGAATATCACCCACCCTTTCTCCAGCACTTCCGCCTCTTTTTAAATAAAGGTGCAGTACCTGCCCTGGCCCCTCCCTCTGTTTTAAGTGTGCCTCGTAGTGTTTCAGTTTATATCCCAAATGGTACCCTATCCACTATATAGTGCACTACTTTTGACCAAAGTCCTATGAGTCCTGGTCAAAGGTAGTGCACTAAAAAGGGAATAGGGTTCCATTTGGGACAAACAGCTTTGTTGGAATGTGCTGTGAGGAATGTGCGGTGAGGAAACTGGGAGCGGAGTACTGTGTCTGGGCACGCATGTGAGGATCCGTTCTCCCCTCATACCTTTACACACGCACCATTACCAACTTAGCCTGACTCTGCAAGTAAGACTTCAACATGTAGGCTACAGTAAAGGTCCTCGTATACTGCAATCATATACATTCAATTGTAAAGTGGAATGGTATCGGGATTAGATTACTGTCATACACAGTACATGCAGCAAAACAATGGGACGGCAGTTTACATGATAACATCAATAGCCAATTTCAATACCCTCGGAATAAACAAAAATAAAAACTCTCATCTTACATTACAAGACTTATAAAGCTGCATTAAAAATCTAAATGCATTCAATATGTTCCTATTGGCTATTATTGTCATTCTACACAAACAAGATAGATAAGTTACCAGAATGTGTGCAATTAAGTGAGCTAAATAAAGTTAGGTTCTTACCTTTTCTACATTTCGGTGTTGAAGGTAAACTTGTCCTGCCTTCGCATGAGTGTCCATTATGTTCCAAGAGACTCTCCGCATACAAGTGAATTTGAACCAATAACTTGAACCTTGGACTTGACTGTGACCGATTTTCTCTTACGGTATCCTAATCCTACAATTGTGATTTATGTATAGCCAAACACTCCCCCTGACAAACGTAGGCTAAGCAATTAAGAGGTGTGCTATTATTTCGTTGAGTCAGCGGCAAATAGTACAGTGAAATATGACTGCGTCCACACCTTTCTCACACCCCAAGGTTACAAGTTCTGGTCCAGGGCGTTAGATGACGTTCCTCTAACTACCTGAATCTAAAAGACCAACCCTTGTGATGTCACACAATGAATAATAGCCTACACAGAGAACCATACAATGAATAAGACATGTATTGTGAAGAATGAAGGAAGTGAAACCGCCCACTCTTGGTTGATTTTATTACGAGAATTGAATTGTTCATTTTTCATTAATGACTTTTGGTTTTAGAACGGTTATGAAGACTCAGATTTTTTGGGAATGCTGTGACATCACCCTATTTATGATATCACTGCGTAACTATAATAATAATAATATGCCATTTAGCAGACGCTTTTATCCAAAGCGACTTACAGTCATGCGTGCATACATTTTTTTGTGTATGGGTGGTCCCGGGGATCGAACCCACTACCTTGGCGTTACAAGCGCCGTGCTCTACCAGCTGAGCTACAATAACAAACACCATTGTAAATACAACCTATATTTATGTTTATTTATTTCCCCTTTTGTACTTTAACTATTTGCACATCATTACAATACTGTATATAGACATATGGCACTTGAAATGTCTTTATTATTTTGGAACTTTTGTGAGTAATGTTTACTGTTAATTTTTTATTATCAATTTCACTTGCTTTTGTGTATGGGTGGTCCCGGGGATCGAACCCACTACCTTGGCGTTACAAGCGCCGTGCTCTACCAGCTGAGCTACAGAGGACCACACTACGGAATTGATTAAAATTATGTTATTGTGACTCAAACGTTCCAACGTTCTATGGAACATAGACTATTATGTGTTTTCCAACATACATTTAACCAGTGTTCCATGTAGCCAGTTTTAGTTTCGCTAGCGTTCACCCCGATTTATCTTTGATGAATGACCAACTTAAATATCAGGGAACAACAGCAATGTAATGCACTCTTTTAGGCAAATTCAGGTATGTCTAGTATAGTTTATCATTGCCATAATTGATCATTTTCATAACATAAAAACTAGGCTATTCAACTAGTAAGAATAGGTAATCAATGAGATTGTCTCAAATCTTATGAGAATGAAGACTTTTCACTGATGCTTTTGGCTGGTTGAAGGTGAGGCAGGTTCATCCATCTAGCTCCACTCTTCTCTCCTCCAGTCCTGGGGCCCTCAGGCCAGAGTGGGGCAGCAAAGCACCTATGGGGCTGACTACAAGCCCCCCAGTGATCGGCCCCTCTCGCTGTTCCGGCTCCATGCAGAGCCCTCTTGCACCACACACCAGAAGGTAGCATACAACTAACTCTATCTCTGTCTCTCCCTCTCTCTCTCTCTCTCTCTCTCTCTCTCTCCTCTCTCTCTCTCTCTCTCTCTCTGTCTCTCTCTCTCTCTCTCTCTCTCTCCCTCTATCTCTCTCTCTCTCTCTCTCTCTCTTCTCTCTCTCTCTCTCTCTCCTCTCTCTCTCTCTCTCTCTCTCTCTCTCTCTCTCTCTCTCTCTCTCTCTCTCTCACTCTCTCCTCCTCTCTTCTTCTCTCTCTCTCTCTCTCCACTGCCATCACACTACTGTACACACACACTCCCTATTTCTCCTGCCTATCTGCTTCTGTCTCTCCTTCTCCTGTCTTCTCTCTCCTCTCCCTGCCTACCTGCCTGCCCTGTCCTGCCTGCCTGCCTGCCTGCCTGCCTGCCTGCCTGTCTGTCTGCCTGTCTGTCTGTCTGTCTGTCTGTCTGTCTGTCTGTCTGTCTTCCTGCCTGCCTGTCTGTCTGTCTGTCTGTCTGTCTGTCTGTCTGTCTGTCTGTCTGTCTGTCTGTCTGTCTGTCTGTCTGTCTGTCTGTCTGTCTGTCTGTCTGTCTGTCTGTCTATCTGTGTGTGTGTCTGTCTTCCTGTCTGTCTGTCTATCTGTGTGTCTGTCTGTCTTCCTGCCTGTCTGTCTGTCTATCTGTGTGTCTGTTTGTCTTCCTGCCTGTCTGTCTGTCAGTTGGTGGATGTGTGGGCTCAGTACCACAGACAGTGTTTCCAGACCAGTACCAACGGCCCACGGAACCCCGCCTCTGCCTTCACTCAGGTGAGTCCATCAGCCTCAGGCACAAGAACTAACTTACCTGTCCCTTGACTGGCATACCTTAGGGGCATTTCATGGTAGGCTGCTCACCTGCACATACTCCGCCTCCTTTTAGAAGTAAGACTTATTTTGTACCTCCAGCCAATCGCAATCACTCTGTTGAGATATATTGCAGACTCCTTGAAAAAGATGTTGGTAATCTCCTTAAGAACAAACATGAGTACATATCTTTCCATAATTTACAGAAGGATGAAAAACAAGCTTTGCTTGATTTACAATCCGATACGTCAGTCCTTACCCACCCTGCTGATAAGGGTGGGTCGGTTGTACTCATGGATAGGACAGTTTATGTAAATGAGTGTCATAGACAACTGCTTGACAACACCTTTTACAAGAAACTCAGAAGTGACCCCACTTCCCAATTTCAGAACATTATCTTTACTGTCCTAGATGGGTATTTAAGTTCTGGTCAAATCACCAAAAAATAACATTACTTTTTGGCTATTCAACACCCTAAAATTGCCACTTTCTATACTTTGCCGAAATTATACAAGAATGTTGCAAAACCTCCAGGGCATCCTATTGTAGCGGGCATTGATGCAGTAACAGCCCCTTTATTGACTTTTGTTGACTTTTTTATTAGACCACAGAACAGCTCCCCTCCTTTGTAAAGGACACCAGCAGTATGGTCTTTATTATTGAATCTCTTAATCCTCTCCCTGAGAATACTTTGTTAGTTACTTTTGATGTTGAGTCGTTATACACAAATATTCCACACGAGGGCGGTATTGAAGCCATGGAACATTTTCTTCTGCAACGTGACCCAAATGAACTCTGATTTACCATCCCAAAATATCCCTGCACAATGTCTATTTGCGCCTCTACAGGATGGAAACTACAAGTGTAATGGCTGCGCTCAATGCAATGGCACTTACAAATGTAGATCCTTCAAACACCCCCAAACAGGGAAACACATCCCAATCAAAGGTGTTATCACGTGCTCCACTAAGGCAGTTATTTATCTTATAACTTGTCTTGTGGTAAAAAATTATGTGTGTAAAATGAAGAGCGAATTAAAAGTACGAATCTCGGAGCATCGTAGCACCATTAGGTGCAAAAACTCGACATTTGCGGCCCACTTTTTGGAAGCGAACCACTCGATTTTGTCCCTACGTTATATCGGCATCGAACACATCACCCTCCCTAGGAGGGGATGACCTCGACAATTTATTATTAAAACGAGAGGCTGCCTGGATCTTTCATTTAAAGACCCTTGCTCCCTTCGGTCTCAACACAGACTTTGATCTGAAGGCATTCTTGTGATTATTGTGATTTTGCTATTCATTGTAAATGTTTGTTGGCCTTTGTAGTCAAATTGTATCTATGATCGTATGCTATTAATTTGTTTTTTATATGTTCTATTTATATCTGTAAATTAACCAATGATATCAAGCCACACCCGGCCATGATTACAGACACCTGCGTGTGTCCTTTGACACTATATAAACTAGTGACCCGCAGTGTTTGTCATTATACCCTGATGAAGACAGCTTGTCTGTCCAAACGTTGGTTATTAGGTTATTAAATTATTGCATCTGAGCTCCTAGAGTGTGAGATTCTCCTTTTCTTTTTCAGATGCATTGATATGATCTTATCTTAGTCAGTCTCAAACATCTCTATCCTCTCTCTCTCTCTCTCTCTCTCTCTCTCTCTCTCTCTCTCTCCTCTCTCTCTCCACCTCTCGCTCTCTGTCTCCCCTCTCTCGCTCTCTGTCTCCCCTCTCTCTCTCTCCCCTCTCTCTCTGTCTCCGCTCTCTCTCTCTCCCCTCTCTCTCTGTCTCCCCTCTCTCTCTCTCTCTCTCTCTATGTCTCTCTCTCTGTGTCTCTCTACAGAAGGGGAGAACAGTGAGGGCAGCTATGTTAGAGAGTGAGAATTTCAGTAAGATCCCAGTGGAGAGGACAGCTCCTCGAGAGAAGGGGCAGAGCCAGATACCACCAAAGCGTTCGAGCTTCGACTCTGGGGAACGAAGGTCAGTCTCCCCCTCTCTCTCCTGGACCTCAGTTCATAACTCCGGCCCGTTCCGCCCTGCCCGGAAAGAGGCATGGATGCAGGCAACAGGGGACCCGGCACTGGGGGTCTCAACCAAAGCCAAGGACGGGGTGGAGCTGCCTCACATCGGCAGTGGAGAAGGTAGGAGAGGGAACACCCTGTTTATTATATGTTTTTCTTTGAGGCTTTGAAGGGCCTTATAACTCCACAGTTTGATCCGTTTTGGTCTCCTTTAGTGCAAGATGATAGACCAGCACCCATAATGTACGTGTGTGTACTACCTGTTCCTGTTATCACAGGAAGTGATGCGGAGCCCCCGCTGCAGTTGGAGGGGTTGAGGGCGGAGCAGTTCCGTCGGGACATGACCCACTCATCTAGGCTGGAAGGCCAGATCAACCAGCGCATAGCCACCCAGTCTAACCTCATGCACCTAGGTAGGTCCTATAGAGATAGAACAATATATTCAACACTGTTCTATACCCATAGCCACCCAGTCTAACCTCATTCATCTAGGTAGGCTTTCTAACAACAGCCTAGTGTCCCAAATAGCACCCTAGTCTCTATATAGTGCACTACTTTTGGCCAGAACCCTATCAGCACTATATAGAGAATAGGGCTTTGGTCAAAAGTAGGGCACTATATAGCGAATAGGGTGCCATTTGGGACGTACAGCCTTTATGCACCTAGGTAGGTCCCATAGCCACCCAGTAGGGGGAGACATAGTACTCAACACTATCCACCCTGATCCTAGATCAGCACTCCCTACTCTGAGACGCTTTAATACGGGCCAAACCACTTACTTTGTTGAGAGCCTGCTGGCCAAAGCTCATTGGCATTAACATGTTAAACTTGTGACGTAGGTGCAGTATGATGCTATATGTGGGTTTATTCATGATAACTCTCATTTGTGTGTGTGTAGGGCTGCCATTCGACGGCGTGACCACCTACAGCCAGAGCTACACACTGGGACAACCCCCCACCCTGAGAGGCCCGCAGCGCATCCTGCCTGAAGCCACACTCAACTGGTACAGTAGATCACATCCACGGATTGAAAGGAGGGATCTGTTCATACTTACTTACCTAAGTCTTTGGAGCATAGGCCATGGACCACTCCTCTCCATTGCACTCAGTTCTGGAAAGTCTCCTCCAGCTTGTTCCACCCTGTGCCAGTTTTCTTTGCATTTGTCTCAAGCTCCTGCAATCTGTTCACTGCGATAGATAATAACTACATTTACATTTTAGTCATTTAGCAGACGCTCTTATCCAGAGCGACTTACAGTTAGCGAGTGCATACATTTTCATACTGGCCCCCTGTGGGAAACGAACCCACAACCCTGGCGTTGCAAGCGCAATGCTCTACCAACTGAGCTACAGGGGACAGACTACTACAGAGCAGATTACATAGTGACTCACACATACAGTGATTCATAGCAATCCCCTTCACCCAGCAACCCATTAACGGTCAAGTGGTGCTGCAGAGGTTATGTCCATCATATAGTCTGGTGTCTGTAATAGCCAGAGGTAAAAGTGATATCCCAATAAACACAGTCGGGTAGTATTGTGGAATTCTAACAGCTTTATACCTGTCCTCCAGACCTCCAGCTCTGCAAACATAGCATGGTTAGGGCCAAGGGGAAGGACTTTAATATGCTTCACCATCCATCCAGGAGGGCCTGGGCGTCAGAGTACCAGGACCGGTACCAGGGCCCTGATCGCTACGTCCCTGGGCAGAGGAAGCCCCCTAGCGGCCTGGAGAAGGAGCCCTGCACCTCCGAGTACCAGCCTGTCGGCCGCACCGCGGACCAGACCCGAGGACACATCCGCTCAGAGTACCAGAGGCACTTCACCAAGAAGGTAATGCCCCAAATGGCACCCTATTCCCTTTGTAGTGCACTACTTTTGACCAGAGCCTTATGGTGCACTATCAAAAGAATGGGGTGCCATTTGGGATGAAGACCCAGTTTCAAGGCTCCCTAGCAGAGCAAATGTAAGGCTGCATTTACACACCACTAGACACACTGTAGAGGCTGTGACTTTCACCTCGTGGTGCACAGAGGGCTCTGCACAGAAATTGAGATTTACATGCCATTTACATAGACCCTTGCTATCCGGGATCCAATGGACATCCCTACCCTATTGAAGTTTAAATTATTTAAAATGGTTAAGGGTTAAGGTTAGGGACATCAAGTATCCCAGATAGCACTAACCAATTTGGTCCTATATACAGTACCAGTCAAAGGTTTGGACACACCTACTCATTCCAGGGTTTGTCTTTACTTTTACTATATGCCAAGAGTGTGCAAAGCTGTCATCAAGGCAAAGGGTGGCTATTTGGAGAATCTCAAATATAAAATATATTTTGATTTGTTTAACTTTTTTGGTTACTACATGATTCCATGTGTTATTTCAGTTTTGTTGTCTTCACTATTATTCTAAAATGTAAAAAATAGTAAAACTAAAGAAAAACCCTTGAATGAGTAGGTGTGTCCAAACCATTTGACTGGTACTGTATATATACACTGCTCAAAAAAATAAAGGGAACACTTAAACAACACAATGTAACTCCAAGTCAATCACACTTCTGTGAAATCAAACTGTCCACTTAGGAAGCAACACTGATTGACAATAAATGTCACATGCTGTTGTGCAAATGGAATAGACAACTGGTGGAAATTATAGGCAATTAGCAAGACACCCCCAATAAAGGACTGGTTTTGCAGGTGGTGACCACAGACCACTTCTCAGTTCCTATGCTTCCTGGCTGATGTTTTGGTCACTTTTGAATGCTGGCGGTGCTTTCACTCTAGTGGTAGCATGAGACGGAGTCTACAACCCACACAAGTGGCTCAGGTAGTGCAGCTCATCCAGGATGGCACATCAATGCGAGCTGTGGCAAGAAGGTTTGCTGTGTCTGTCAGCGTAGTGTCCAGAGCATGGAGGCGCTACCAGGAGACCGTAGGAGGGGAGGCCGTAGGAGGGCAACAACCCAGCAGCAGGACTGCTACCTCCGCCTTTGTGCAAGGAGGAGCACTGCCAGAGCCCTGCAAAATGACCTCCAGCAGGCCACAAATGTGCATGTGTCTGCTCAAACGGTCAGAAACAGACTCCATGAGGGTGGTATGAGGGACCGACGTCCACAGGTGGGGGTTGTGCTTACAGCCCAACACCGTGCAGGACGTTTGGCATTTGCCAGAGAACACCAAGATTGGCAAATTCGCCACTGGCGCCCTGTGCTCTTCACAGATGAAAGCAGGTTCACACTGAGCACGTGACAGACGTGACAGAGTCTGGAGACGCCATGGAGAACGTTCTGCTGCCTGCAACATCCTCCAGCATGGCCGGTTTGGCGGTGGGTCAGTCATGGTGTGGGGTGGCATTTCATTGGGGGGCCGCACAGCCCTCCATGTGCTCGCCAGAGGTAGCCTGACTGCCATTAGGTACCGAGATGAGATCCTCAGACCCCTTGTGAGACCATATGCTGGTGCGGTTGGCCCTGGGTTCCTCCTAATGCAAGACCTCATGTGGCTGGAGTATGTCAGCAGTTCATGCAAGAGGAAGGCATTGATGCTATGGACTGGCCCGCCCGTAAACCCAGCCCAACAATGAACAACTGGTAACTTCAATAATTTCAAGAGACAGTTGAGCAAAAAGAGGAAATATAATACAAGTCATTATGTTGCTCCTCTGGTTTTGCTGCAGAACTACCCTGGCCTGGCCAGACCCAGGACCAGCCCTGCGTACAGAGACGACTGACTGACCTGAACAATCTCCAGCACGCAGGATCAGATCTGCATTTTCTCTATTCGATGTTCAACCTGACAAAATGCTCTATTTTAATACAGAAATATCAGTATTTAGACAATTCAGAGGTACTTGTGTGCCTACATTTTTATCAAATAAAACTTTGCATTAATACCCACAGCATGGTCTTTTGAGGGGTCTTTTCAATATGTGGTACAACTGTAGCTATGGTAACAACAGGTTACTAGACACGTAATAACAGAATCAAACATGTATATAAAACAATGAACAAGACAAAAGTCCCCGAGAGGGTACCTGATCTTTATTCCATCATACTTTTGTCCTCATTTTGTTAATGCAAGTTGCACACTGTGACAGGATTTCAACTGAAGTTTTTACAAATCAACCAAACAAAAAAAAAAACTAATTGTTGCCACGGAATCCCTCACAGGTTCCAAGTTGCCTGCCGTCAGCCCCGCCCTCGCAGCCAGATTCCATCCAATCCTTCTGTACACTGCCATCTGTCCATAATCTTTTGCCCAGCCCACTTCCCCCCTACACACCTGACACTACCTACCCTAAAACCAGCCTCTGAGGAATTGAAAAACATGAAGAAAAAAAAGAAACTGCAACAATGACCAGGGGAGATACAAATCTCCATCCACGATCACCACGGTGACAGAGACTCGCACGGCTGCACTTAGAGATCGAAGATAAAGAAAGAACAAAAATAAACACCAAACTTCCTACGCGGATCTGACCTCCAGTTCTGCCGTCTGTCTGTCCAATAAGAACATCTTATACTGATGGCCCCTCCCATCCAATAGGATTATTTTATACTGATATGGCCCCTGCCCACCCTGCTCCCATCACAGCCCCTGGCCTAGTTTACCACATAGGAACAAAACGGAAATAAAAGGTTGTGTTCCCCTGCTCAGACGGTGCTGACGCATTCCAGATCTTACAACGCCTGATAGGTATTTTATGTATCAGCTAATTACAGCAATCTGGTGCCTGGCGGCACAGTCGATGACTTGGCACGTAACCATAGGTTGATGCATGCAACGTCTGAGCAGGGGAATGCGACCAAAAGCTTATTGAAGAGTATACCCCAGCCCACCCTCCAACCCCGCCCCATGTACCCCACACAGCCCAAAAGCAGGCGAGTGTAAGGGTGTCTGCTGGGAAGCCAGCAGTCACAAAGAGTCTTTATGAGGGTTCCCCCTACTGGCGGGAGGACCCTAGTATTTCATTCCCGGAACAAACTCCTTCGCCTCTGGGTTCAAGCTGCTCTTGCGCTGTAAAAAGAGGAGATATTTAGTATAGGAGTACATCAAAAGGACCTAAACCTGTATGAACAGGTAAAAATAACAGGGCCTCAACATTAAAAGCTGATAGATAAAGAGCAGACACTGAACAAATAGTTTGGATTGTAACGCATCACAGGATAGTTTCTCGAGCGAATGGTCGGTTCCCTGACAGATTAAGCATACTCCTGGACTAATGGAGAATTTCCATTGAGCATGGTTTTTAGTCTAGGACTAGGCTTAATCTTTTTCTGGGAAACCGGTCTAAGAGTAGGAGCGGTATGGTGTCTGATCAAACAACTGGAGAAGATGGACCGTCCCTAAGGTATCTAGGTACTGAATGTGGATTCACTCCACAGTAAATACTGAACTTTTCAGGCTTTTAACTCTCAGGTGAACACTAAGGGCAGGTTTCCAGGACAAAAGATTAATCCTTGTCCTGGACTGTGAAGAACTTTCAATGAAGTATTGCCATTGAATATGCTTTTTAGACCAGGACTAGACTTAATATGTGTCTGGGAAACTGGCCCTATAAATAGTGACGTTTCGGTCGACGACGCTCATCAGACATGCTGCTCATGTCTGCTAAATGACGTAAATGTAAATGTAGAGAGTAAGCAGACTATGACACATTCTGACGGTACTCACCGCGAGTTCATCAGCATTGCCGTTGGAGACAGAAAGCCCATTGAGCTGTTGCTGAATCTGTCCCACCCCCGGGGCGAGGTCTCTGGCGGGGATGAACCAATCCTGATCCTCCTCTTCCAGCATTTCCTGGAAACAGCGTTCTAAGAACTCCTGCTCCAGAAGCTCCTCTTCCACCTGGGATGACCACACAATAGGGAAATAAGGGGGGGGGGGGGTTACAACCAGCAGCCAGCAGCAGTTGATTATTTCTTAATATTTATTTCCTTGATTCCTCATGTCCTCTATCCTTGCCTCCTTCTCAAAGAGCACTGGAGGGTGGTCCAGGTCTGAGGGGAGTGTACAAAAAAATTAAGAACACCTTCCTAATATGGAGTACCCCCCCCTTGCCCTCAGAATGGCCTAAATTCGATGGAGCATGGACTCCACAAGGTGTCGAAAGCATTCCACAGGGATGCTGGACCCACAACGCTCCAATGTAATATGGGTCCTTTCTTTTTGCCGTTTGAGCTAGAGACAAGCCGTTTTCTTTGCTTTAAAGCTGAAAGCATGCCTGTCGCAAAGCCGTTTTCCCTCTTGATTGACAGCGAACTTGCAAAGCCTACTCAGACTGGCCTATGCTCTTGGTTATACCAGGGATAAAATGATACAATGTATTAACTTTGCTCGCTCTGCGGGCTGCTCCAATGTATGAAATGTACAAATGTAACAGAAGACTGAATTTATAAACAAAACTGACTTATACGCATTTTGTAAACAGGCGCCAGCGGGTTCTTTAAATCGGTGGGGCCGAAAATTTTGTATTATCATATGAAACAGTACTACGGTATTCTCAAATGTTGATGTCATAAGTATCATAACGTTTTGGTACCGTGATACCAGTATATAACACTACTCTGAATGGCACACATACACAACCTATGTCTCAATAGTCTCAAGACTTACAAACCCTTTTTTAACCTGTCTCCTCCCCTTCATCTACACTGATTGAAGTGGATTTAACAAGTTAAATCAATAAGGGATCATAGCTTTCACCTGGTCAGTCTATGTCATGACAGTGCATGTCAGAGTAGAAACTATAGCATGAAGTCCAAGGAACTGTCTGTAGATCTCCGAGATAGAATTGTGATGAGGCATATATCTGGGGAAGGGAATATGGAACTACCCAGACTCTGCCTAGAGCTGGCCGTCCGACCAAACTGAGCAACCGGGTAAGAAGGGAAAACCTGCCAGAAGGACAATAGTCTCTACAGCACTTTATGGGAGAGTGGCACATGACAGCACGGCTGGAGTTTGCAAAAAGGCACGTGAAAGACAGAGCATAAGGCAAATTATTTTGTGGTAACTATTTCGCTACCGCTCCCCATCTAACTTAACAGAGCTTGAGAAAATCTGCAAGGAAGAATGATCATGCCCCTTAATCTGGTTGAAGGTCCCCTAATGGTTGGGACTGAGTAAGGTAACCTAATCCTAGATCTGTGTACAAGGCCTGGCAATATCTACCCAGGGCAACATTACTCACCTTTTAGTGTGTGGTCTGTACATCTGTGTAGGTGTCCCTCTGTCTATCTGTGTGTGTGTGTGTGTGTGTGTATGTACATAATGAGTGGTCCTAAATCACTGACCTGTCTGTTGTAATCCTCCTCGTTCTCCATCCACATGTAGTCAGCGAAGGGGTTGTTGTTGCCCCCCTCTCCCTCCTTGTGCCCGTTGGCCACGTTCTCTTTCCCGGGGGCACTGCTGCCGCCTGGTGTTTTTGCCATCTCAGGACTGTTCATCTCCGCAGGCTCTGTAGGGTTAACGGTTTCACACAGGCATTAATGGCAGCCCACTTGAAAAATTAGGCAAATGCTTATAAAATTGACAGTAATGCTCAGTTTGCATATACTGAATAAATGACGTGTTTAATAAACATGAAGGTCAAAAAACGTACCTAAACATAAGAGCAGAAAGTTAAACCATTATCTACCCACACAGTACTGTACTGTCATGAAAATGTATCTTGCCAAAACGCAAATAACAAAGTGCAGATGTAATTATTTTACTTTATACTTAGCTAGTTAGTAGTATCACAGATAAAAGTGTTAGGCTAGTTATCATAACCTTTACTAGTGTCATTCCAGTTAGAGTAGAGAGTCAGTGGCTGCGCTTCCAGCTGACGTGGCTACAACTACTAGCTAGCCAGCTGCTACCGTTATAAAGGAAGCGCTCGACAATACCTAGCTAACGGCGTTACCTGTATCGTCAGCATTGAAGGATGCACATGTCATGAGACAAAATAGTGATGATGACAAACACCACATGGCGCTCGAGGCCTACCTGCAACAAGCCAGCCAGACAATTTGCTAACTGGAGTACCGTTAGTTACAGCTAACATTACCGTTCGTCGCAGCACAACTCCGATTTTGAGTATTGGCACAGTTTGCTAGTGAGCTAGTTACAGTAGATGGTAAACAATGTTAGCTAACTAACTACGTAGCTAGCAAGTGTGATAGTTAGCTAGCGAACTTAGAAAACTAGCATGGACTAGCTAGCTAACAAACAATAGCTAGCTAACTAGCTAATTTAAGCCGTCTGAAAATAATTTGTGATAAAAGGGTTGTAGTTTCGACTAAATTTACTGTAGCCAGCAAGTCACCTGATTGAACAAGTTAGCTAGCTAGTTAAGTTAGCATTCGCTAGATAACTAACACAGCGTGCAATCACCCTACGAAAAAGGATTCGGGTTACTACTAGCGAGCTAGAAAGCTACTTGGCTAGCGCGAGCTCGCTAACTAACTTGAAATATTTAAAAACACGCATATTGGATGACACATGGACTAACTTGGCTAGCTAGCTGTTTTTGATGTACAGAGTGGATGTTACGTAATCTGTAACTAGCAAAGCCTTCTCCCTACCTTGGGTTGTCTTTATAGCTAGCTATAAAACTGTTGGCAGGTAGCTAGCTGGTAGTGGTAGCAACAAACTCAACCAAATTTAGCTTACTTAGCTCAAAGGCTAACTGCGTGACATGCACACACAATTCAGGTCAAATGGTATCTGGAATGCACACTAGCCAGTAGCGCAACAAAAACGTAGCTACCTGGCATCGTTGGATAATTATTTCAAGACCACCCGATATTTCTCCAATGTTTGACAGGGGCAATTCGTCGACTTTTTAAGCTAATTTGCTATCAAGCTAGCCAACTCCCTACATTCCACCAAGACGCTCACGGGGGACTTCCGTTTCGTCGTTGCGTTCCCCCAACCCGCTTTATCAGTCGTCATATACCTACCTCAGCGTATCAACTGAGAGGTTGATGTCATGGGCATGCGATTATGTGGTTACTTCATACACTGTATGTATAATATTCAGAAATCTAGGAAAACGTTATCTTGATAAAGATGTCATGTCAATTTTATTTTAAGGTCACATAAATGTATTTTGCTTTTAACCCAGCCCCCTGACAAACACACACACCTGGCTGTGACGCACATTGAAGCAACTTAAGGGTTAATTGTCTTGCTCCAGGGCATAACGGCAGGAGATAGATTGGGATTTGAACCAATGACCCTCTGGTTGCTGTCCCTCTTCTCTCTCCAACCTAGGCTACCTGCCACTGAGCATTTGTAACTACCTGCATTTGCCTACTGCCTCCCCTCTTTGTCCCTGGCTCTTCAAATGTCACCTCACCCTGTCTGTTGACAAGGCAATGGAAATGCCACGACACTACAAAAACGGGCTGTTAGCGCAAAAAAAAAAAATGCATTAATTCAATTGAATTCATTGCAGGCAAAGGTTTTCTTTGTCATCTGCCATTTACAAACTGCGCTGGCTGTTTATCGGTGTTATTAGACTAATCATCTGGATCAGCCCAATACTTTAAAAGTACAACATTTTAGTAGACACTCTTATCCAGAGCAACTAGGGTTTAGTGTCTTGCTCAAGGGCACGTCAACAGATTTTTTAATTAGCTTGGGGGATTCAAACCAGCCACCTTTCAGTTATTGGCCTACCGCTCTTAACCGCAGGGCTACCTTCTGCCCTATAGAGGGTTATCCACCTCAAAAAGCACAAGAAAGAGGATTTCGACACCGACGATCTTGTCGTTCTGAAATCGTTTCTGTAGTTATAAACAAATAAGATAAGCATTCCTGCCACATTATTTTGTTGAAAGACAAATTAAATGAATTGATTGCACCCAAATTGGCCATTTCAATTGATAGGATTCATATAATATTCATTAAACATAGTACCCAACATCGGACTTGGACCAAACCTCTTCTTAACAATGATTAAAATAAATGGTAAAAAAATTTTTTTACCAAATAAATGGTAAAAAGCCACCCAAGGAACCCCGCCAAACCCCACACCAAGCCCACCCCAACGGCCAGTATACATGATTAGTTCTCTATGTCTGACAAGTAGTATGAAGCTGTGGCTAGGAGTATTGTTTCTTCATACTATGTTATGTATTCTCTGTGATTTTGGTGATGGTTATTTTCCCCGGTTCAGAGAAATCAGTCATTGAGGTTTCTAGGTTTATGTAAAATCAGGTTATGACCATTAGATGGTGCTGTTCCTGATATTGGTTGAAAAAAGTGTGAAGAACCCCCCACCCCTCCCCAATCAATGTTAATTCAAGACTGAACCTTCAAATGATAATAATTTATAAATGCAGAGTGAATAGTTAAAATTAGAACAATGTATTTGCCCAAAGAAAAATCATAAGAAAACTAAAAACTGCGTTGAGGACTACTCATTGCTCATTTCATTCTTTCACTTTCTTTTCTTTCTTCATTGCATCTTCTATTGCAGTGATGTCGCTACATCCCAAATGATATTGGCAACCAGTTGCAGTGGTTGATTCCTTAATGGTGCAGATGATGCTTGTTTTTCATACACAACATGTGTTCTCCCTGTTTGGCCAAGAAAATGATCTTGCTGGATAACTTGAGGGGATGAATTTCAACTATACGTCCATGTTTTCTATAATCCACAGCATTGGCAATTCCAATCCAGCACTCATCATCATAGCAGCAAACTAGAACATCAGCTGTAGGCTCATCTATGGGTTTCCCAAGGACCAAATCAAACTTAATGGCATAATCTGTGTCACTACAAACTCTCTTTGCACCTATGAGGCTTTTGAAGAGTGTAACAAAGTGATGGAAGCTGCTGGTTCCTGGCAGAATAATTGTGTTCTAGTTTGTTGCTATGATGATGAGTACTGGATTGGAATTACTGACTCTGTGGATAAAAAACATGGAGGTAAAGGTGAAACTCCTGCATCCAATAAGGCAATTTTCTTGGCCAAACAGAGAGGACACGTCTCTCTCTCTCTCTCTCTCTCTCTCTCTCTCTCTCTCTCTCTCTCTCTCTCTCTCTCTCTCTCTCTCTCTCTCTCTCTCTCTCTCTCTCTCTCTCTCTCCCTCTCTCTCTCGATAACAATCCTCCTCTCTCTCTCTCTTTCTCTCTCTCCCTATCTCTCTCTCTGTCACAACTACACCCCCTCCAAGTCACCCGTGTTTCTCCCTTCTGTAAACTGATGCTGCCCATCACCTCACTTAATGGACCACACCTGAAATGCAAATGTTTTCCACTGGTTATGACAACCCTAAGTGATGTTTAGTATGATTGAAGAGAATATGCCATGGTGTGTAGAATGTGTTATGGATGGATAGGCCCCTGAGTTTTTCCAGACCAGGTCAGGTCAAAAGATCAGGGAAAACTCCAGGACCTAGTTACACAATATGGTGATCAGTGCATTATAGCTGGAACAGCCCTCTAATTATAAGGATAATTATATTGAAATATGATTATTGCATTGTTCCCCACAATTAAAACAGGGAGGGGACTATGGATCTGTGTCCGTCCATCCTTCAGTTAGTCACACGCGGTATCTCAGACAGCACTGGTGTCATGACTTCGGCCGAGGCTGCCTCCCCTCCTTGTTCGGGCAGGCTTCGGCGTTCGTCGTCACCAGCTTACTAACCACTGCCGCCCCCAATCATCATTACCTTTATCTTGTCTTGTCAATCACACACACCTGGTTCTAATCCCCTCATTAGTCTGTGTATAAGTGTTCCCTCTGCCCCCTTGTCCTTGTGGATGAGTGTTATTTGTGAGTGTAGTGTAGTGTAGTTGTAGTGTAGTGTAGTGTAGTGTAGTGTAGTGTAGTGTAGTGTAGTGTAGTGTAGTGTAGTGTAGTGTAGTGTAGTGTAGTGTAGTGTAGTGTAGTGTAGTGTAGTGTAGTGTAGTGTAGCGGAGCTACTCGTACATTTTGTTGCCAGGGTAGAGTTTCCCCTGTGCCTATGTATTATTGGATTCTACCGTTACAGTGTATTTGCCAGGGATGAGAGTTTCCCCTGAGCCTGTTTCGTTGATCTCTATTTGAGCGCATTTGTGTGTCCACGAAGGAATAAACTCTGTATTCAGTGATTACCCTCCTGCGCCTGACTCCTTCCATCACACTCATCACAACTTGCCCGATTTTTATGAAAATTGGTTAAAAGATGCGTCTTGCCATAGAGATCCGTCATTTACTTTTACTATTATACAGTAATCTCCTGTCTCGTTTGAGCTTCAATTGTTGTCACTAATTGGCCCAAGTGGGGGCGGGGCGCTGCATCATTCGTGCGGGACAACATGTTTACTGTTGCCTTGTTAGTTATTATAATTATTGTTATTATTTATTATAAATATACAAGAACATCTTGATTTTATCCATCCTTTAAAAAAGACAGGGAGTAAGAGAAAACACATATCACATTGGAACTTTAGTGCAGTCATATCTATTTTCTGACATGTTTAGTGCCAGCTGTCTGCTAGCCAGTGAATGTCTGTCTCTCTACCAATAAATTATCAGCTAAGTTTAAACAGAATGACACAAGGTCTATTTACAAACAAGTACATTATAGCCGGGATTCAATACGAAACATGCTATATCACGCTTGACATTTAAAGGTAATTTCAAATTGAGCCGACATGTGCAGCGTTTACCTTCAAAGTCTTCTCGCGAGCGCGGTACCATTGACTTTAAAAATTGCTTTACAAGTGCGATCGGATTGAATCCCGGGCTGATATATCACAATTTTATTTCTAAATATGAAAGATTTGAGAAGTGCTTGGGCTGGTTTACACTCTATGTGGGTACATAAACTGCAGACCCAATATTACTAAACAAAATCGACAGGGAGGGGAATCAAACCATCACTTTCTACGCTACTGATTACATTGGAAAAACATTTAAACATCATGAATTGGAAAACAGTAACTCCATATTGAAGAAAATCACACATTTTTATTCACAAATGAATATGAAAAAACATAGAACATAAATATAATGAAACTGTACATTTTTTAAAGCACTAATGGTTGAAGAGATTTTGACTTGATGTCTTAGAGACCTCTGATACAGGGCAGCTTCCCAACCCTGTGGAGGTAGAGGAGGGGCTGCACAAACCCAGAGATTACAACAATGCACATACAAATAGACATGCCTATGAAAAAGTAAAGGAAGGCAATGTAACTTTTAGTCTGTGCCATCAGTGCCAGTGGCAATTGAGACACCACAGCATACACCAGGATAATCAAAATGATCTTAAAGGCCTTCATCTTAATGCTGTTTGTCCCCTCCCTCTCTCCATCCCCCGGCCCTGGACGTTTCAGAGCCCAGAGAACTGAGAGGCAGCAGAATGACATCAGCAAAAAATAGATCATTGATTGGGCAAATATAGAGTAGAAGAACACTGGTGAATATTTAGCAAACAAAGATAGACAGCAGTACCCAAGAACCATCAGCCAGACAACACTACAACACCCCACCCTGTATCTTAGGGGTTTGTACTTCAGGAAGACCACAGGGTGGACCACCGCCAGGTAGCGCTCCACACAGATACAGGTCAGGAACAGGGGACGGCCAGTGAAAAGAAACCCATATGAAAAAGCAGCAACTTTTGCGATAAAATCAGACTGGACGTAGAGTTCAGCCAGGCTGGCGGTATTAAAGAGACAGTAGAGGATCTCAGACACGGTCAGGTTGAGAGAGAAGAACTCTGTGGCCGTCGTCCCTCCAGCTCCAGTCAGTATCAGCCACAGGATGTAGACATTGGTGGGGAGACCCAGGATGATGTTGATTGAAAAGGAAGCAGTAAGAAACGGGTATAAGTATGCCACAAGGACATCCAGTACACCCTGGTTAATGAGGGAGATAGGAGGAGGGGTGGACGTTACATTAACTTTTGTTAAGTTCATGTCAACGAC